CGGTAATTAATGAAAGAAGTAACTAATAAATAATTAGACACAGCTGATTGTATAGGCTACTAACAATGACAACAGTTTATTATTCGATCGCCATAACCTCATCATAAGTCTTTAAAAATGCAGAATATACACGAGAGTTAGAATGAATACTGTAACATTTTAAAGATGCTCACAGTCAACTGTTTTACGTACAGAATACGAAGCCAAAACAGTTACTATTTCATACGTGAACATTGATAAAAATATGATATTTGCAAATGATTACAAATGAAAAAAACAAATAAGACAATGAGTTTGGACTGACAGAACAAAGAATGAAATTATTGAAAACTTTGAAGGGAATGTTGTTTCAAGACGTAAACAAGATAATCTTTAAACAAAACTATGTAAGAAAACCCATGAAACACAGTGGTGGGTCTATACCAGTGTGGAGAAACTTGTTCTCTGCAGGAGTGGGAGATATTGCCAAAATTGGTGGTATCGTGAACAAGGAACGGTATCTCAAAACCCTCGTTCTCCACTCAATATACAGAGAAAACAACATTCAAGTCAATCTGATTTGGCCAGGTGGTTAAGGAGCTCGACTCACAATCTTCGGGTCGCGGATTCGAATCCCCGTCACACCAAACATGCTTGCCCTTTCAGCCGTGGGGGCGTTATAATGTGACGATCAATCCCACTATTCGTTGGTAAAAAAAAGTAGCCCAAGAGTTGGTAGTGAGTGGTGATGACTAGCTGCCTTCCCTCTAGTCTTACACTGCTGAATTAGGGACGGCTAGCGCAGATAGCCGTCGTGTAGCTTTGCGCGAAATTCAAAAACAAACAAACATCCTGATTTTGAATTTCAGCACGATAACGATCTGAAATCTGTCGCTTTGCAGAAAATAAAATATATTTAGAGGAGAAGGAAATAATGCAGGTTGTACATTAACCATTTCAGAGTCCAGATGCTAGTCCAACTGAAAATAAGTAACACCAATTAACTAATAATGATGCAAAAGTAATCTATTGCAATTTGGAAAAACTATATTCAAAACGTGAGGAAACAACACTTTATATCAAAAACAATTGTAGCATCTTTACGCAACTGATATATTATTATATTTCGGACTATAAGAGGTCCAATTATATATTGTGGATTCAACTTTTCTTTTACAGTTTTATTCGTAATATTCTAAAACTGAGAATTTATATAACAAGTAAACTAAAACAATATTTTCACCTTGTAACTTTCTATAACTCCAACTTTGGACCAGTACTGTATATATATATATATACACAAAATAATAAATGAATTTATACAAATTAAAAAAAAAGCAGCTGTAATAGATTCTGGCCTTGACCACCAGGGTTACCATAATGTTTATGTTTGTAATTAAGCCCAAAGCTACCCAATTGGATGGATGTGCTCTGCTCACCACGGGTTTCGAAACCCGGTTTCTAGCGTACTAAGACCGCAGATATACCTCTGTGTGACATAGACAAAAATAATTATATTTACGTATTTTTAAAATAAAAAGAAATAAGATAACAACTAAACTATTGTTAAATATAACAGAGATTCAAAATAATAAATAAAGATGATGAAAACTACAGGAGTAAATAGTTGACGAAAAAAATTATAGATTAAGATGAACAACAAGCGAAAATAAGTTTTTCTTTAAAGTTTCACTACTAATATTCAAATGAAAGCCCCCCCCCCCGTGGCACAACAGTATGTCTGTGCACTTACAACCCTAGAAACCGGATTTCGATACCCGTGGTGGGCACAGCACAGATAGCCCATTGTGTAGCTTTGTGTTTAATTACAAACAAATAAAGAAGTGATAATTAAATACAAAAAATTAAATATAAAATCTGATGACCATGACCCAAACACACGAAAGTTCTTATATTAAACACATAGAGCCTGGTGGTGCCCTGAAAGGTCTGGTGGTCAGGGCGCCCAACTCGCAATCTACGGGTCGCATGTTCGAATCCCCTTTACCAAATACGTTCGCCATTTCAGCCGTGGGGGGCATTATAATGGGATGGCTAATTCCACTATTCGTTGGTAAAAGACAAGAGTTGGCGGTGGGTGGCGTTGACTAGCTGGCTTCCCTCTGGCTTGTCGCTTCTAAATTAGGGACGGCTAGCGCAGATAGCCCTCGAATAGCTTTGCGTCAAATTCAAACAATTAAAGACATAAACTCTTTGACGAAAGCAATAACGAATAGAACATCTTTCAGCACAAAGGCCTTGAAAGGTTTTTCATTGGTAAAGGAGAGATTGGTGGCCTTGCTACTTTGTTTTTAGTTTTAAATGTAAAATAAAGTCGAAAACAGAAATTGTTACTTTTATGAAATAATTCTAGGAAGTTTGTATTAACCTATCTAATTACTGGAGTTTGCTTTAGTGTAATGTGAATACAAGACGCGATATTAAGGGGATCACTCCCCCCCCCTGGAAAATGAGAAACATAATTATTTCTTTACTCATTCTGCATACGTATATGAGTTTGTAATTTCATATTACCCATTACATTTAATTTTCAATTCTAATAAAAGTCGCCAGGATTGTCAGCATCTTTAATTAAAATCTCTGGATACCTACCTTGTAGCTAAACACTGAAAAAAGTCGCTGTGATCGGAGTCAACCTGTTGCCACCTGTCGGTAATACCGGCAGCAGGTTATCAAACAATCTGACGCAACCTTGCACAGTATGTATGAAATATAGAGCTTATGTAGTTGCGTGTCTTTAGTATGGCTTAAACTAACCTTACAAATATCAAATCTGACTCTGGGAGCTTGCCTATTCTCTTTACAGTTATGACAGAACTTTGAAGGCGGGTCCATCGTCCCTTGATTTTGAGTTTGACCTCCCCATCCCCCTGAAAAAAATTTCTGCGGACGCTCATGGTCAAAGTAAACGCCTGAACAAACAGGCAAATATTTACAGTCCTTAGGAAAATTAATAGGCTTATAATAACAGCTTAAATAAAGTATATTTCCTATAAACTAAAGGGAAATGCAAACTACATTCCCTGGGTTAATGCTAAGTGGGTGACTTTAACTTCTCATATACTAAGTTGACAATCAAGATTACAAAATAAGAAGTAAACAGACTTGTCGCGACCTTTCAGGAATTGTCATTTATCAGTTTAACTGTTCAAAAGTAATAAAAATAGGTAAAGCAAACAGTGTGTGATTAAATTGATAATGATATCCTAGATTTCCTCTCAAATTTAAAAACAACAACAACAAGAAAAAACTTGTAAATTATTTCTAAAATAGTTTTGTTTGTTTACAAGTCATAGTTTTAACTCTCATCTAATAAAAAACGGGGACATTTATTTTGATAATACTAAATTGTTTGTTTGTTTTAGAGCAAAAACACGTTGCATTATCTCCTTTGTCCACCGCGGGGAGTCTAATATAGTAGTCAGAACTACAGTTTCTGACTACTATATTTATAAATTACACCAATAAAGATATAAACAAACCCTCACGTACAATCCTAGTGAAAGTCGTGCTGTTGTTGTGAGGAGAGTACGTTTATCTAAAATTGTTATATTATAAAGAAATGATTGTTGCACATGCCACAGTTATTTTTCTAATTGTCTGATTCTAGAATACCCAAAGTGTGAATTTTTTTATGGATTTTTGTTTGTGGAGCCATTCAATAGATGACGAAGAAGTTTTAGTTACATACATAGATACTGACATACATGCTACGTCCATTATAGTAAGATTAACAACTTCAGTTTTATAAACAAATATGCATGTGCATATTACCACCTTCAGTTCTACAAACACGTATACATGTATATATATTGAACCAAGATGCTGAAGCTGTTGTTAATTTATTTTTCTTTGGTATTTTTGATGTTTTAATGTTATAACTCTCGTAGTATTACATGTTTTATTTAGATTGTGCGAAAACAAAAGGTCTAGCGAAACAGGCTTTTTATCTTTGAATTAATTTGGATAATATAGAGCATATATAGACGGGTAAGTCAGCAAAAAGTGCAGTGAAAACTTCAGATAAATAGGGTTAACTTAGACCAAGACGTTCCCTATTTTACCACATAAAGACACAAATGTTAAGATTCATTTAATTAAATTAAAGAATGTTAGTTACCGTGATTTTATCATTCAAATGAGTTGTATATTTTTTTTTACTATTTATGTTTGCAGCATTTTATAATTTTGATAATTTAGACAATTTTTGAGTTATGCTGTGGCCGTATAGACTAAAATTTTCAAAGTAGAGTTATATCAGGATTCAAAAAATGTTAGTATGTCTTAATATTCTTATCACCCAGATTTAGAACACCAAAAGCAGGAGGTTCGATTCACCGAGGTGGACTCAGTATGGATAGTTCATTGTGCAGCTATACACTAAAAATATCAACTAATATCGGTTTTTTATATATCTGATAAAATTGTTGACTTTATGTTTAAAATACTTACACGTTATAATCTAGAAAAGCTGGAAGCAATTAGAAATTATGAGATCATTACGTCTGTAATAACGTATCAAACCATTATTGACGAAGTCATTGAAGAACAAAGAGATTCATAAAAGCATTAATTTTTCGAAACAGTTAAAGTAATTTCGAAAACTGAGGAGCAGCTGCTACTATGAAAACAATTACCTTTGATGCTTAAGTCTCACAAGTAAAAATTAGTGAAACTTGTCAACTAGTAGCATGTAATCTTATTAAAGTAATACATATGTTTGTTAGCGAAATACCAACACGTGTTTTATCATAAATCGTTTTCATTTGATTCTCTTTTCATCCGAAATCAGTAAACATGGGATTGGTAAAAGTAAACTGACAAAAAAGAGATTAAAAGCAAGTGATAAAAGAAAAATCTTGTTGCCTTAAAGGACGAAATACAACTGTCTAAAAGACAAGTTAATCCGCGAAAAAACAATATAAATTCCAAAACTGTCAGAAAGTTACAAAAAAAAAAAGATAAATATGGCACCTTGTTTGCCAGATATCAAAAATTCCGTTGTAACTGTTCCAGCCCATATTCTGAAAGAACTATAAAGACAGTGGGCTCTGGTACTGTTATCATTTCTAATAGTTTGGTCTTGGACTTTAGGAAAGGCTTGCTGACACCAAGGTAGGAGGTACTACTTTTAAAGTTATTTCTGTCAAAAACGATACGTTAATCACAAATTTAGATGTGGTTTATCAGAAAAATCAGCGTGGAAAACATGTAGCTCTTGTTTTTGGTATATCTAGAGAACGTGTATATATAAAAAGAGGAAAGCAGTAATCAATATACCAACGCCATGATGAGGAACATTTATTTATGTTCCCTACAATGGTAAATAAAATTCCTCAGCTGATCTAAACTATAATAAAACAATCTTATCTAGTAAAAACATAAGTTATTTCAGTTAAAAATTCAAACCTAATTTATCCTGAAAATTCAAAACTTGTATATTGAACTCATGACACTCAGTTAATGCAAATGAAGGTTTATTTAGAGTAAACGTTATTTATGTTACGTATACAATTATTGTATTTAACTGCATTTAAGAACATATTTGAAATTTCTTAAACAACCTTATACTTGATCATTGGTTTTTTTTCAACGCCGACTTAAAAATATATACTTATTTGACACAAATTTTTCTATATGCTATAAATGTTACTTTACTTTTTGCACGTGTTCGTTGCTTCAGGTAAGACACTCAAACATTATGAAATAATATTTTGTTAGAAAATGACTTTTTCCAAAACAAAGTTCTTGTTTTCGCCTCCCGGTGGTTCAGCGGTAAGTCTGAGGGCTCACACCTCTAAAAATTGGGTTTCGATACTCGTGGTGGGTATAGCACATATAGCCATTACGTAGCTATATACTTAACAACAAACAAACAATCATTTTTATTATTATTTCAGTTGACGTAGAAATGAAGCTAGCCTTTTTCTTAGTTTTGCTACTGACTGTTACAACAGCATGGAGCAGTCCGGTAGTTAAGACCCCCAGAGGTTAGTAATAATTTGATTCTATTTTTGTGTTTTCTCTTCTCGTTGATTTTAGAACCCCTTATTTATTTAATATCAGACAATTATTTGTGGTAGAAAAAAGATAACTTAGAAGAAATAACCCCAAAAACATATAGACAAAAACTCTTATTATTAATTGCAATAAATTACTTAAACTTTCAAAATAGATTTAAATGGCTGAATTTGTCAGTCTGCATTGCCCGGTCAAGCGCCCTTTCAACATTTTTGCACTTGTGTGTACTTGGGTTCTACCATTATTTTTGTACTTAGCAAGTCGTGTTAATAGCAAACCTTATATAACTTTGTCAAAGAATTAAACTTTTATGAGTAGTCTTTTTGATGCAATCAACACATTTTAGTTATGGAGAAAAAACAAAGATTTGGTATTGTGTAAAATAAGAAATAAAATCATGCTTTTACCCACTATTTATACACTAATAGCTAGTTTTTATTATTATTATATTTTTGTTGCATTTTTAAAACTTCTAGGGTTGGCTATTATCTAATAGTAATGGCTTAATTATTTTTTCGACAGATCTTCTCTCTATCGTTTCATAGTTTAGTTACAAAAAAAAAGATGACATTTGGGTATAACAGAAATACGTTCTTTTACATTCTGCACTAATCTTCACAGATCGCAATAACAAGCCGTACAAAGTGGTGTGTTACCTGGGCAGTTGGGCCAACTACCGTTGGGGAGATGGAAAATACAAAATTGAAGATATCGACCCTTTCATCTGTACCCATCTCATCTATGGGTTTGCTAAACTGGACTTCAATAACAAGATCGCTGCGTATGACCCTTATCTAGATTTGGTAGAGAACTGGGGTTTGGGTAAGTTTATGTATTTTGTATCTTCTGTGTATGTGAAGCCAGGTGGACTGTAAATGTGAGATCCATGTTCGTGTTCTATTGCTCCCCCCCCCCCCCAGACAAAAGAAACAACAACCATGCTCTTCACTTTGGGGCCGTGGGTTTATTACAAGAACGATGGTTAAATCACACAATTCGATTAGAGTAACCAAAAAGTTGGTGGGGGATGGGCTTTCCCTAACTGCCTTCCCTCTGGTCTACCAATTAAAAATAGGGACGGCTATTAGTAAGTAACCTTTCTGTAGCTTAATGCGATTTCTAAAACAAACAAACAATTCATGTGTGTGTATGTAATTTACATATACATCTCCAGTTTTTATAAAGATACGAACCTGAAAGAATTTTTCTATTCTCTTATCTGTAACAATGTGAGCTCCTACACCTTGGTTCGGTTTCTTTCGAAACTTTTGAGCGTATAATGTTATCCTAAACATTAGGATCACTTTGAGTTTAATGTTGATATTAATACTAGATGTACTTCCGCAGGGTCCACGAAAGTGTTCTGTTTCAAGGGTAAATAAAACCAAAATCAAAAGTAACAAACTTTTTGAAGTTCATATGTCGTACTGTGTTGTAGCCTACAGAGTGCATAATTCTTCTCGTGATTCATGGCATGCGCACATTTTACTGACGCCACGACAGTACAAATTGCAACGTTAAGCGTCCCTTATGTAACGTCATTTAATGTGTCTAATAACTGAATGACAGACAACACACTACTGTATAATGGTGAGAGTGGTTAAAACAAGTGACCCTTCCAAGCGGACTTCGGCTCCTTTTCGAGGAAATTATTTTATCTTCAGGGAAAGAAGTAAGGGTTACCTATTTTAACCAGTCGCACCACTATACAGTATTGTGTTGTCTGTCAGTTAGTCAGTAGACACTAAAAAATGATGTTACATAAGGAACGCTTAACGTTGAAATTTGTACTTTCTTGATGTCAGTAAAACGTGAACATGCCCCATGAATCACAAGAAGAATTATACACTCTGTAGGCTACAAAACAGCATGACATAGGTACTTCAAAAACAAGAAATAAAAATATTTGTTACTCTTAATTTTGGTTTTATTTACTCCTGAAACAGAACACTTTCGGAGACTTTGTAAAAGTACATCTGGTATAGTTTTATAATATGAATTTATATAAATTTTTTATTACTAGTGATTTTAAACAAAGGTGTTTTACTATCCCTTAACCATAGGCCTAAAAGATGAACAGCTTAAAGTCGTCGTATATCGTAGTATTAGTAAGTGACAAAACAAATTAAGACTTGATTAAATTATTATGATGATTGTCATTTATGTTTTATAAGCCAAATGTTAGCATCATTTCAGATAAGTAGTTTACTCTAATAAAGATAAAGATAAACAAACAATCCTCACTAGTGTCTCCCACACTTCATTTAGATTAAAGATGTTTTTTATAAATATCTATGACGCGTTTTATCAGAATCTTTTGTACAGCTGAAAGGTCCATCACTAAAGTGTTGTCTTTGTACTGTCAACGTAAAAACTATTGAGAAGAGAGAGGTCGTTTTCTCCTCAATTTGTGGACTTTGAATTGAGTAGTAACTAGCATGCTGGTTTATAGCTTGCGTCCCGTTAATGCAAAAACTCGCTCAGCATTTTGTAGTCGTGTGTGTGTGCAATAAAAATGAAGGTCAAATTATACTGTTTGGTCAGATAAGAGTAACCCAAGAGTTGATGGCGAGTACTGTTGACTATCTGTTCTCCCTTTAATCTATCAATTCAAAATTAGGACCGGCTGTGTACAAATAGCTCTTGTGTAGACGCGGGCGCGCAAATAAACTCTGTTTGTTGTTTGAAGAACCTCTCGTAAGATTACTGTCGACATGAGAAGCCGTTGAAAACTAAATTGGATTTGTCTTGCAAATGGTAAATTAGTCTCTAATAAAAGCATAAAGAAATGTCTTCAGTATAGAAATAACTCTGAAATATTTCTCTGACATCTGCTTTAATAACATTAAACTGTAAAGGTACACTATTATATGATTATATAATAATTTACAATACAACGAGTATCATTTATACTAAATGTTGATAATGAATGAATTATCTAACAAATAAATATCTGGGATACAATCTTTGTTCTATTATGAACATCAACAAATCATGAGAGGTTTATCAAAATAATTTATCCAGTTTGGACTAAAACAACTTGTAAGCTCTTTAGCTATAGTTTCTTCACGAACACATCGGCAAATCTGACGGCTTATAAAGTCCATGATTGGCACAGCACCGATAGCCCATTGTGTAGCTTTGTGCTTTACTACAAACAAACATATATTTATTCATGATGAGTATACTTGCCGTATTTCCTGTTTCATAAGAAGACATAGTCCACCGGTAAGCGCAGATAGCCTCTTGTGTAACTTTGCGCTTAAAAAAGAAATAAACGTGAACAAAATATTGAGATGTCGTATTTTCAATTTCTGTATCAAAAGATATATTCATAGTATATGTTAGCGTTGGCTTTATCTTTTTTCTTTTTTTTTATCAATACTCAGTGGTTCACATATATATATATACACTGTTATTGACGAACTGGTAAATTCATATAAAAATAGTAAATTATTCGGGGAGTTTCCTGGAAAACCGCAATCAAATTTGCAAAAGTTGTTTTGAGCAACATAATAAAAAGTTCCTAAACTCCTTTACCCCCCCCCCCCCTAGTAACGGCAATCATATACGTACTATTAACGAAATACTAAACGTATCGTTACCTTTTTAATT